ACATGTGAGATGTAAGATCTAAAAGTATTTAACTGTCAGGCTGTCATGCGAAATAAAAAAAAAAGTTTAAAAAAAAAAAAATACATAATCCTGTCTGATTTATTTTAAAGGGATCTTATATCCCAGTCTCTTGATTTGTTATTTATACAAAGAAATTTACATTGTACTTACTCAAATTATCCTATCCTGGAGATATACCATGGTAGCACTTACTCATGAGTAATTCCCTCCACAAAACACCCACATGAACACTTTTTTTTATTTTATTATTAATTTATTTAATATGAAACAATAACTTCAGTTAACCACTTAGTTATTAGTTGTTTTTTTGAATTGGAGGAACTTTACTCGACTGTAAAGATGTAATTGCCTTAGGGAACAGCAGGGGGAGTGTAGAGTAACTGGTCTTTTTAAGTGAAGCTTCTACAGTCTGCAGGTAGATTTGTTGCAGATAAAGGAGTTGTATTAACCAGCAGGTGGAGCAGAGGAAAGCTATAACTGTGAAGAGATCGCACACCAGTACAGAAGGAACACACACGTTGCTCCAATGGAAAGTTAAAGGAACACTATTGTGTTAAAAATACAAAGCTGTATTCGTAATACTATAGTGTTTGTCAGCACCACCCCTCTTCTCCCCCCAGATAAATTCTTAGATAACCATTTAAACACTAACCTAATTCCAGCACGGATGTCCCTCCGTACTGATTTGGGCTACTCCTCGGTTGGACAGGGGGGAGGGGGGGAACTAATGCGCGAGGACGTCAAGTCTCACTGCAGGAAGCACCTCTAGTGGTGGCCGGTAGAAGCAGTCTTAATGTAAACATTGCAATTTCTATAAAACATTGCAAGACTGAAGGAACAGGGACATTGCACCCAGACCACTTCAATGAGATGAAGTGGTCTGGGTGCCTATAGTGTCCCTTAACCCCTTAAGGACAAAACTTCTGGAATAAAAGGGAATCATGACATGTCACATGTCGTGTCCTTAAGGGGTTAAATATTCTGTGTGTGAACAAATTTATATATGCAACCAAAACAGAATCCTTATAACAAGGGAAATTGAAAGCAGTGTGGTTGATAATCAAGCGAGGTACGGCAACAATGTACCAAGTAACAGCAGTAATGTATTAGCTTGTAACAGCTTGGCAACAAAAGTTAATGGAGTCTTCATTAAACTGCCATGGGTTTTTAAACCCTGTTTGGTAACTTGTGAAATTAGGAACTTGGTGGCATCATGGTAATTGAGTTTAGGAATTGTGAAAATTTAAAGGAGTAGGAATGTTTTATGTTTTAAAGGGGAATGTATATAACAATTGGACAGATAAAAATCACATAATTAAAGGATCACTATAGTGTCAGGAAAACAAACTTGTTTTCCTATATAATCCTTAGGTCCCCCACTCCCTCAGCGCCCCCCTCCTGCTGGGTTGAAGGGGTTAAAACCCCTTTAGCCACTTACCTTTATTTGGCGCTGGTGACCTCTCCTCCCCCTCCGACGTCTGCTCCCGAGTGGAACCGAATGCGCATTAAAATCGCCCATTGGAAAGCATTTCTCAATGCTTTCCTATGTACGTTCTGCGTGCTCAATGCGAAATGTTTTTTGGGTTTTTTTTGCATTGAGGATTGCGGACGCAGCTTCTAGTGGCTGTCAGGAAGATGGCCACTAGAGGCTGGATTAACCCTGCTATGTTTACAGCTGCTGGGTAAAAACCTGGGGAACCTGGCACCCAGACCACTTCATTGAGCTAAAGTGGTCTGGGTGACTATAGTGGTCCTTTAACCCCTTAAGGACACGTGACATGTCATGATTCCCTTTTATTCCAGAAGTTTGGTCTTTAAGGGGTTAAAACAACAACAACAAAAAGGCCACTCCACCTTACAGGACTGCCGATCAGTGATTCAGTGCAGATTATAGCAAAATCACAACACATAAGGCAGATCCATACCCTACGGCCACAAGAGGGCTCACCCTACTCATAGTGAGTCTACAGCTGACATAGAACATGACGAGATAAAGGACTTGAATAAATGCTGAACAAACTAACTCACATATGACACTAGGCACATGTCCCCCGTGTCCCCTATCCACACTTACCAGTACTGATAAGCGTCTGGACATAGAAATATGATCTGTGATCGAGTGGCATATAGCTCCAGGAAAGATCACCTAAATAAATAAAAACTTGGCAAATATAACGAAGTAAAGGAAAAACGCAACAAAGAGTTATAATTAATCATACTGAAGCCCCACTCAAAGTTAAGAATTACCAAACTACATTTGGGAGGCATCTGTATTTCTCAACCATAAGTGTATCATTTTTAGGGCCTGCGTGCCCTCCACTGTATTTCATTCTGTCTTTACCATGCCTTAAAACAATAAAAACAAGATTTAAAAAAAATAAAAAGCCACTCCCTTCTCTTATGCTTCAGTGTGTTATCGAAGTCATCAACATGTAAATAACCTAGGGTAAGGTAGTGTTGCCATGGCATAGCACCAGGAAAGTAATATATTGGTTAGTATGAACTAAATTTTCATGTTTCACAGGTATATCAATGGCAGCACTTTGCATATGGAAGCCTTTTCTCGGTTGTTAGAGCCTGATGGGATTACAAATAGGCTTGATGACTTTCTGGGGAGGAACATTGATAAACCTCTAACAGGATCCAGGTTTGGTTGGTAATCGTCAGGAGATGTAAGGGATCATAACACAAAATTTTGATTCAAACAAAGTTGAGACTACTTTTGGTCTAAATTATGTAATTGTGCGTAAAATAAGTTTTGTCTTAAAAAGAGCGTATTGGCTTACTATATTAGCTGGATTCTGTAATTTTGAATATTAGCAGTTGATCCTATTTTATTCACATTATCATTTTTGTTTTCATTTTTTGCACATTATCACTACACTTTTTAATTATTTTAATGTTCCCTAACCGGGATTAATAAAAAAAATCATATTATAGTTCTTTTGATGCTCTCTTAATTGGCACTTCATATCAGGGTATTGGGACAGATTTTGGGAGTTAACCCATTCTAGTCTTTCTATTATTATCTTGGGTTATGCCCTATAATACCTGTCAACCAATCCAATTTTGGTGAAGGACTTTTCCTCTTTCACCATTGTTGTATATGTTCAAAGTCACCTTCAAGTTTATAGAAACTGCAATAATTACCACTCTAAAGGTTAAGGGTGATGGGAGATTGCACCCAGACCACTTCAATGAGCTGAAGTGGTCTGGGTGCCTACAGTGTCCCTTTAACCCCTTAAGGACACATGACTTGTGTGACATGCCATGATTCCCTTTTATTCCAGAAGTTTGGTCCTTAACCCCTTAAGGACACATGACGGAAGTATTCCGTCATGATTCCATGTTATTCCAGAAGTTGTGTCCTTACGGGGTTAATTGCACTTAGAAGAGTCTTGATTACTTAATCTGAGAATTCTTTTCTCCTCCACTTAATTTCCATGCCATCAGATTTAGTCTTTGTGTGTCTCACCAAAAGAACTTCTGTCCTCTCTACAGCTGCTTTCCTCAGTACTCTGAAAATTAGAGCAATTGGTGGAAAAATGATGTAAGCTATACTGAAATTCCAAGGACAGGTTAGGGAACTGTTCCCTCTGCCTTAAGGTGCAATTTGCGTGAGAAGAATTTTTCCATTTGACAGTTGCAGACAGGGGCGGACTGAGAGCCTTTGGGGCCCCCGGGCAAAATTAGATCCCAGGCCCTTTGAAGGCCAAATATATGTGCATTAAATAAATGTTAAATATAACTCATAAAACGGCATTCCTTTGGATGTGTATATTGCGAAGACCTGTGTATCAATGCATGTTTGTATTTGAGTCTGTGTGAATGCACTTGTGCATGTCTAGATGACTACATGTGCTTTTTTGTATATAGTGTCTGTGTGAATGCATATGTGACAGGTGACAGAGTGTTTGAGGGAGAAGGTGACAGGTGGAAGAGTGTGGGAGGTTGTGACAGGTGGCAGAGTGAGGGGGTACCTGGTGGCAGAGTGAGGGAGGGAGGGGTGGGTTGGTGGCAGAGTGAGGGGGAGACACAGTGAGTGGTGGTGACTGGTGACAGAGTGAGGGAGTGGGTGACTAGTGACAGAGGGATGGAGAGGGGGTGACTAGTGACAGAGGGATGGAGAGGGGGTGACTAGTGACAGAGGGATGGAGAGGGGGTGACTAGTGACAGAGTTAGGGAATGGGTGACTAGTGGCAGAGTGAGGGAGGGAAGAGGTGACTAGTGGCAAAGTGAGGGAGGGAAGAGGTGACTAGTGACAGAGTGAGGGGATGACTGGTGACAGAGTGAGGGAGTGACTAGTGACAGAGGGAGGTAGTGACTAGTGACAGAGGGAGGTAGTGACTAGTGACAGAGGGAGGTAGTGATTAGTGACAGAGTGAGGGAGGGGGTGACTGTCACTAGTCACCCCATCCCTCTGTCACTAGTCACTCCCTCCCTAACTCTGTCACTAATCACCCCCTCTGTCCCTAGTCACCCCCTTCCTCACTCTGTCACCCCATACCTCTCTCTGTCACTAGTCACCCCATCCCTCTCTCTGTCACTAGTCTCTCCCTCCCTAACTCTGTCACTGTGAAGGAAGGGGTGACTGGTGACAGAGTGAGGGGATGACTGGTGACAGAGTGAGGGGATGACCGGTGACAGAGTGAGGGAGTGACTAGTGACAGAGGGAGGTAGTGATTAGTGACAGAGTGAGGGAGGGGGTGACTGTCACTAGTCAACCCATCCCTCTCTCTGTCACTAGTCACTCCCTCCCTAACTCTGTCACTAATCACCCCCTCTGTCCCTAGTCACCCCCTTCCTCACTCTGTCACCCCATCCCTCTCTCTGTCACTAGTCACCCCATCCCTCTCTCTGTCACTAGTCTCTCCCTCCCTAACTCTGTCACTGTGAAGGAAGGGATGACTGGTGACAGAGTGAGGGGATGACTGGTGACAGAGTGAGGGAAGGGATGACTAGTGGCAGAGTGAGGGAAGGAAGGGATGACTGGTGACAGAGTGAGGGAATGACTGGTGACAGAGTGAGAGAGGGGGTGACTAGTGACAGAGTGAGGGAGGGAGTGGGTGACTAGTGAGAGTGAGGAAGGGGTTGACACAGTGAAAGAGTGAGGAAGGGGGTGACACAGTGACAGAGTGAGGGAGGGGGTGACTAGTGACAGAGTGAAGGAGGTGGTGACTGTCACTAGTCACCCCATCCTTCCCTCTGTCACTAATCACCACCTCCCTCACTCTGTCACTAGTCACCCCTTCCCTCCCTCACTCTGTCACTAGTCACCCCCTCACTCTCTCTGTCACTAGTCACCCCCACCCTCTCTCTGTCACTAGTCACACCCTCTCTCACTCTGTCACTA